CTGAAATAACCGTTCAAGGAATCGCCTTATTGAACCGTATTTTTTCATGATTTTCGGAGCTGCTCTCCTGAAAACACGTTTTCAACACTCAAACACTCACAGCTCTCTTCAAACTCAATTTTATGGGGAATAATGATACCATGACATCGCACAAGCTTTGTGCTTCATAACAAATACTAAACCCTTTTCAGGAAGTCGCCGACAGGCAAATATTTTTTCCAAACTTTTCTTGTAACCTCTATCAGTCAATATGTATACCCAAACCCACTTTATATTAACTTAGGTCCAGTTTGAAGACATTGGTTCTCCTCGAGAGCATATTTGTGTACGTGAACAGTCATATGGACACTTCGCAGTAGACTCTTCTGCTCTGAGGTGCGCCATGCACTCGTTTGTGTTTATGGAGAAGCACTCGAAATTTATACCCCTCACCTAACAGCAAACTTAATCGTCAGTAATCGTTTAATGCTGTGAGCCTGAGCCTAGAGCTTTATTCGCATCTGTGTTACATTTCGTCATTCCACACATTGCGACGTTGACTCCTGTGAATACGACCCCCTCTTCCGCCGGCCAAATACAACCCCACGTTGGACTTGGTCCAACAGACGGCCGAACCTGCTTTCAAGCCAGCTTGTGTCTACTACCTCTCCCACTGCGAACTACAGCAACATTTCTTGTAATTCAATGTGCAGCAAGAGTCACTTCGATAACTTGAAGAAAACGGTCAGATTCAAGTATGGTGCGCTAAAATCATTACATCGCACAAGCAGACAAAAAATAAAAATAAACTTTTAACCAGTAGCTATAACAAATTAAACTTTGAATAGGTGTAACCACTCGTTTTACAGTAATCAAAAGTCAACACGACTAGATAAACTATAGTAGCGTATTGAAAGATTGTTTTGAGCAACGGCGATATCGCCCGAACGAAATCGCGCCGGAGGAAGAGAGAGGGCGGAAGAGGCGGCGGTATGAGACAAAGAAGGTAGGGGAAAAAAGAACGGCAGAACACAATATAGTGATCTCCTACAGGCACCAGGACAACTGAAAGTTACGGTATTCGAGTGAGTTGCTTTGAGTAAAATGTTCGCATGAGTCTATTCCTCCACCAATGACTGTAGATCAGATCTGACCTGATCGATCGATATTGCATAATACAAAAGAAACGAGTAATCACACTAAAACAGACGAGTAAAGATGGAGAGGGAGTCACTCTTGTTACGAAAGCGGGAAATTCGATTCGGAAAGGCATGAATAATGTCAACATTTGGATCAGTATGAGTCGATAAGTAGATCGATCGATCGTTTGATCGATCACAATCCTTACTCTTGAAGAGCACGATCGAGCGCCGCCTGAATGTTGGCGAACGCGTCACGACCCATGAAATCCGGATGACCAGCTTCCCAAGCACGAAGTCTTTCTTCTTCACTTGGTGATGGCGTCTAAAAACTTCGCAATGGAATTTTTTCCAAAAATTTTCTTAGACTTTTCATGATTTTTAGATTCGTGAAGCACAATAGGACAAACACCGCTACAGACAGTATTTTCAGATATACAAATGAATGTTTTATGGATATCAACGAGCAGTTAGGATTTGTTGAAGTTGTTAGGGGATGGTAAGTCGTTCTCGCGTTGATGAACTCAACACTCAAAACGGAACACATCAACGATCTATGGAAGCCAGTTTATAAAAAGCACTACTTGAAGTACTGAAAAAAGTGAGCAATAATCCGGGAGAACGGTAAGCGACTGCGCGGGACTAACGCTAGGGTGAAGAAGAAGACCTAGGAGAATGGTGACGCATATTTGAAGGCTGACATTGAAGCAATTTCCTCGTCATATCTACACTAGTAGTGCATGATGTGTCCGGTACTGCTCATGATCCGGAGCTTCGCCGCCGCAGGACTCCTACTACGATCAGGCCTTCATATGGGTACTTCTGCTTTATTGGGTTGTTCGGAAAATCTCCACGGTTTTCAGTTGCCCACGTTTGAATGCTCACTCCTGAATACCTTTTATGGAACTGCTAACGGGTCAACCGTCACGTTGGACCAATTTCGAGAATTTTTACGACCCCCTCCCCCCTTCTAGAGGGCCTCATACACCCACCCTCATGGTCAACCCTTCACTACCATCCTCCACCCCCTCGCCTGCCATCGCCATCATGAGGGCGATTTTATAGTATTTCTATAGTACTTAATTCTGAAAACGGCTCAACTCTCCCACTTTTTCCTCCAAATTCCCCATCGAGCAGGGGGGGCGGGGGCGGAATCCCATGGCAAAAACCTAAACCGTTTCCGTCCTGGAGAATCCCCTTTCCCTTCTTCTAGACATTGACGCCCACTAGCGAAACACGACTCCCCTCCCCCTCGTATGGACTTTGTCAACGGACGGTTGACACCTAATTTTATATAACATATCTGAGAAGCGCGGTTTCTCGTTCTATCTAAATTATAAGCTATTTGCTTTTTTGTTGGAAGCATAATGACTCCGCACTTTTTCCCACGGTTTAGGCCACTGCAACAAGCATTTTTGCCACAGTTTTGTTTCCCTCAATTCGGGAAGATGAAATAGTGGAACCAGTACCGATTAGTCAATGGAGCAAACTGGTCCGGACCAAAGAGAAACCCGTGAAGTCGTGCCTTAAAATGATTTTGCGCGATTGTGAAGCTCCGAAGGATATTGAAGATCTGGTCGAATATCGGAGACTGACTGAGAGTTTTGATCAAATAAAAATGCACAGAACTGTTGAACAGGTCGCCTTTCATTTGAATGTAACCGAAATGAGGTAACCGCATATACGTTTAAAGGTTACAAGTCCGAGGAAGTGGGTACCGCCCAGAGTCAACTGTGCGTTGCGCAGTTCTCAACGGCCACGTTTCGCCCCATTAACACGTTCGGCTGGCTCGCGGCGAACATTGACATCGCGCTATGCTCGAGCCCGTTCTTGTGCCTGTCCCCATACAGCGTGCGTTAAGGATCTCTCAACGTGCTATTGAGAACTGCGCGACGCATGGTTGACTCTGGTACCGCCTACTCCTCTCACCACAGTAGCGCATCCCAATCTCACAGTTTCAACCGTGCATACGTTAAATTAGCTGAGCTACGGACTGTGCTGCGAACATGTTACGTAATGGACCTCTTGTCTATCAAGTGTCACTTTTCCAACGATCTGAATGTCCCCTAAGGAGATTAATCATTGAAGCCCATTATGATTGTGAAACGACCTTCGCCCAGAACTCCAGCTCCAGCAAAAGTTTCAAAATTCGGATATACTAAATTTTCATATTATACGCAAAGGTAAAGGATTGTGATACATTCTGATTTGTCCGAAAAATGCTTCGTTTGATCGCTTTTAAATTCCAGGGTCAAATCGGCGGAAACTCTGCGGACAACCCAATATATCTTCAAACAGAACTCAAAGAGTATCTGCAAAACACTTCGTAGGGTGTTTACATGCTTCTAGTGACAACCGTATGAACAGGTCGAATCAGAATAGAGGAGGAGGGGCGGCAAATTTTAGCGTGCTCAATCCATGGCGCGTATTTTTAGCAAACATCCCAATTCGAGCATAGCATCGCCTATACTTCGAAATATAAGCAGAAACTACGGTAATGATACCGACGCCTTCAGATCTACACAGCCAGCCATCGAAGAGACATCGGATTTGTCAAGAATCGTACTTCGGAAAGTTTCATTGCGCGTTTGTTGGATGAGCCGAAAACCCTGCTTTTGCGACGACTGCCACAGCTGCCTCTGACGAGGAATTGAATGCCATGTTGGCTGGACATGTTGAGCAATTGCAGGATTGCAAGAGTCTCTGTCTAGATGATAACAGCGCCAAATGAACACCCTGGGCTCGAAGTTCCAAACACTCAATCGGGAAATCTTTCAAGGTGAGGGGCATGTGTTGGATGAAGGAATAATTGCGCGGAAGTTTTCTGCTTCCTCTTTGAAACTGCCGGGCCGGTTCCGAAAGCTTCTATGAATGATTCTATTTTTCTTCTCGTTGTGCTGTCTCTCTTCTAAAACCCACCTTATATGGAGCTTGTTCTCCGGGACTTGAGCATGCCTCACTCTGTTTTAATTAGAGAGTTAGTACAGAAGAACTAAAACTAGTTACATCACACGTTAAGATAGGATACATCATTCAAAACATGCATCTAATGTGATAACCCTCCAGCAGAATCCACAATCAACATTATGACAGCGACCACTCTCAACAAACCTCTACACTTTTTTGAAATATTGAAGCGGGCTTCCTTCATGAAAACGACGTTCGTTGCACTTCTTTAAGTGATTACTGCGAGAAATGCCAGATCGCTAGTGAGACAGACGCAAAACAAAGGATACCTCCGGTTTTTTCCCATCTCAAGCAGGGTAAGAAGACTAAGAAGCTTCTTTGCAGCAAACATGACAACAAGTGTACACCGGAAATACTAAAGCAAAGGGTTGCATAAAAGGGATAAGGATAAAGCATTTGCCGTTGATCAATCCCTTTTGGGATGCGGCACGCATTCTACTTCCATTTGTACATTCGTAGTGGCGTTTGAATGCGATGTGGCCTATACAATGACTTGCGGGGGCCAGCCGATGTACAAGTCAGTGTTTTTATCCTCCCAGACAAGTCTGGTACCAATTAACCGACCCCGGAGGGATGGAAGGCTTGGTTGGCCCGGGCGACTCACGACCCAGGATTTGATCCCCGGACCGCTCGCGTGGTAAGCGTGCCACTTGCCACTACACCACTTCCGCCCTAAGGGTTGCATTAGCATATGGAAAAGTGAAAGGGATCGTTTCCGTTAAAATTCACAGTTTTGTCTGCCCACTGCCTCTCCCCTTCCCCCGTCACGCGGTCACGGGGTAACGGACTTTTTGAAGATTGATTTCAACTAAAATAAGAAAGAGCTACCGTAGATTATTTGAGGAGACCCATATTGAGGTACCATACTGAGGAATTCTCAAAGATACGGAGTTCTGTCCCTGATTTTTTTCAGCAATGGTTGACTCTAATACTTCTTCCCTTAGTAGGAGATGTTCTGATGTTAGTAATAGAGTAAAGCTCTGCATCCACACTTAATGGCTTCGGAATCGCGAATGACGCAATCTAGAAGAGCAGAAAGGGGCGTTGGACTAGGCTATCCGTGCGACCCTTTACCCATGCTCTAAAATTCAGAAGGGTACTGAAGCCCATTCAAGAGTGTATAAAGTTGTCCAACCAAAAAGCTTAGCAACTATTTTTCTCATTCTTTGCTACAGGAGAAGCAGCGGATTCTACTGGAAAGTGATCACCCATGCGTATTAGATTCGCAGTCGAATTCAATAATAACGCTAGACACGTGTCCCCAGCAACTAGCCTTCGGAGATACGTGGATGTGCTTGCGCGATCTGTGATTCGCCAACACTCTTGATCGATTGAAATTGCCGATCGTAGGCCAATCAACAGCCACTTGCACAAGCACTGCACGTTGCACCAAATAGTCGCCTTGGCTTGAGGATATGTGAGTAGCACTAGAAGTGTATTCGACCGTTTAAACTCACAGTAATCGCCACCACCTCGGCATCGGTGAAGTGGCTTGTCGATTCTTCATCGTCACTAAGGGACTGTTCTACGAACGCATGCGAATCTACATCTACACACATCGCACGATCAGAAACCAAATTGCTACCTAAATTCTGCGTAACGTGCTGAAAACATGGCTGTTCAGGCTGTTCAGGCTGTTCAGGTGCATGCGACGTCATTCCAGGAGCGTCGTAATGTGGCTGGTGCTGATATTCAAGCGTTTCAACGTGATGAACGTTACTAAATGATGTCGATGACGTATCGCAAGATCCTGATTGATGATGGGATTCTGTAGATCGTGGAGATGACGGGAGCGGCGTCGTCGACGTCGGATGAGAAGAGGACGGATGAGACGGCTGAGAAGTTGGCTCACATGACGACGTCTTCTTCAATCAATAACATTGAAACTCAATCTTCTGAAGCGAAACCACACAACAATCAACCACAATGCCACTGCAAATCAATCACATGCACATACAAGGGCAATATGCACACTGGCGTGATATTCGGACAACTCATCCACAGAAGAGAAACGACCTTGCACGATGGCACAAAAGGAATGGAAGTTCTGTTTTGAGCTGTTTAACCCGCGCCTCATTGGCCGACTATTTCTCATTTCGTGGATAATTTGCTCGCAATCACTATTGTTGGCCCATTTTTGAGCATAATTACTTAAAGCAATAGAAGGAATTATCGGAAATCACAGCGTTGCTCAAAAGCGGACCATGGAAAACGTGTGAATTGGTTGCATGTATGGGGCATGTAGGTTATGGAAAAGGAAGAATGCTATGACAAGGATGTTGGCTTTAGCCTTACATGAGCAGCAACACTCTGATGATGAATTTGTCTCCATAACTCCAGGTGGGCACCCTGGGCCGACGATGATCCGTGCCATGGTTTTTCAGCTCCGATAAAGTGCACTATCTTCGTGTTAGCACCAAATCTATAATGCATTCAATGGTTATTGATTTTCGATTCTACGTGATGACTGAATTCCCAACAGCGTTACCTTTTGAAAGCAGCCGCATACGTGTAAAATGAGCCGGCTGTCATGTTGTAGATGAAAGGCAGTCGATGAATCGCAGGCCAATCACGCCAACCAGCGAAGAACTCATTCAGAAGGCCTTGATCACCTCCGTCGAAAGAGCCATGCGAGATTGCGAATGCCAACAAACGGCCTAAACATGCTTATCGATTAGCTCCTACCTGAGATAAATATTTCTTTTCGTTTTTGTCACACTTTTTTCCAAAGTATCGTGTACTCTCTACATACGCTAAACAATCACAAAGTAATGATATCACGGGACCAATTCTTGGTCTCAATTGGAATCTTTCTCCCTGCTTGCAATGCTGATGCACTTTACTTTCTTTGTGGAGCCCTAAGGGCAGATGGTACGGCAAATTGGACGCCGCTGGAAATACAAGTGAGGATGGTAAATGTTAAAGTGATAACGAAGATATCGAGGAAACGGCCTATAACCCGCGGAAGTGGTTCCAGCTCGTTTGTTGTCGCTTTGGATGAGTTAACGACTAGGACAGAATTCGTTTGGCCGTGTTATCCTCGAAAGTCGGCATTGTGTCAGCAAACATCACACTTCCTTCAATAACGCATCACATAGAAACTAAAAGATACGGCCGATTGGAAAAAAACATGTACTTTTACCAAAATGAAATGAGAACTATGAGTATGAAGTCCCAGTCAGCAGCAAGTTATATCATCCAACAACCAGGGGACGGAGCTCTCCACGAAAGAGGCGGCTAACGGAGATCCACCTTTGCTAGGGTGCTACGGGCGCACCCTTCGCTGCGGAAGCGCCACGTCTTAAAGCCTCAGCGGCCTGATTACCTTTCACAAGTGGCAGATCTCCTTTTTTTTCAGTATCCAAATCTTGGCACCTTCTACCTCAAACGAAATAACAATCCTGCCTCAGAGCACTTCCAAAAGAGCCACTGACCCTTTTAAAGCCTGTTGCGATTTCATTTAGAGGAAAGAGTAAAGCGTGGCGTATCCTTACGAGTGGCATAGGTTCTCAATTCTATCTATTCGAGATCGACAAGGCGGTTTGATACGTTGCATAATCACACTCACCAAAAACTTTTAACATCCAGTATCTAACCAGTAATCTCTTCTGCAACATTCTGTCACGTCATTCTTTTTCGTACAATACTAAACAGAAAACCAGGGCATGGCTTAGCCCGAAACTTTCGAGATTGAAGTTCCGGCACACTTTCATGAGAATCATTTATTTAGTAAATTTGGGTTTATAACACCACTTCGAATGCTTTACTCGTAGTCTCCATGCTAAGTACGTAGACAAAAAACACCGCTGTTGAAGCAATCTGGCCATCCGATATCGGCAGCAGCTGAGAACTCAGGTCGTTCAAAGAGTTCGTCGGCATTCTGTAGCACCTGCAAAGCTTAACAATTGAATTATTTGTATAACACAGAGAAGCTCCAAAAGTTTTTCCAAAAGAATTCCAAAAGTTCACAAAAGTCCAAATACTCCAAAAAAAGCCAAAAATTTAAAAGAATTCCTTTGGAAACTTCCGCGATATTTCGGTGTATAACACCTTCTTCAGGCATGTGTTTGCCTCAGCCAAGGATAAAGCTGCCCTTACGGGAGCCGCGCCGATTGGAGTGAAACTATAAACATGTGATAGCGGATACCTGCTGCTAGTGGAGATTACACTGATATTTATATTATCGTTTAGAAACACTGGATTTGAGACATCGAGACATGAGATTCAAATTTCACGGACAAACGATACCGGGCCCACAAAAAGTGCTTATCGATCGGGATAATGAACAACGAGACAGCGAAAGAAGAAGTGTTCTGCTTCACATACAGAAACTTTGCAGTTGTCTCCAGAATATTTGTTATACAGCGCACGACTACAAAATTATCAGGACTCAAATACGAGCCATTGATGATTATAGGCTGTTTAATCCTATGGTTTGTGTTCCCATTTATCCCTCCAGCGCTCAACCCAATTTTTCAGGGAGAACGCCTGGCCATGACGTCATCGAAACCAATGCAAACTTGAGTACACGACGGTAAGCACGGGCGTATCTTATCAATATTTGCTTAATTAATTACTCCGACTCCATGCATCAACACATTACCGGCGGCGACGACCTTTGATTTCCATCTGTATAACCACGAGGTTGCTTTTGAGATCTCACTTCGTAACCTATTTGGGAATGCGCATTAAAAATTCCCGTCACCACCTCCTAAAGGCCTAATTATCCTAAGTGCAATGACTCCTCCTGAGTAATAGCAATCGGCTTTGTGCGCGGACAAGTTCAGAAGCACTTTTCATGACGGCGGCAGAAACTCCTCAAAATACTCCCGGCTCGGTCTGCGGACAACTTGAACTCGGTCCTTTAAACCGCTTCGAATTGATGCTTCGCCTGCGCTCTCTCGCCTTAACAGCGGCTTATGATTACTGTGATCTGATGCATTCAAACTTTGCCACAATATGATTGGCTCACCCACTCCAGGAGTCCCTCCTCCCTCCAAGGCTTAGTCCTAGGGCTCTCACCTTCTGCTTGAGATTTGGAGCCGAGCCAGGCGCCGTTCTCTGGTCGTCTGTGCTCTAGCCTTTCTCAGAAGAGAACACAGGGGCGAGTTCAAGTAGTCACGTTCCCGGCTCAGCTCAGCGTTGTCCCTGCTTTCCGACCGATCGTTCACATTTCTTTTATAACGTAAACAAAGGTGAGAAAGGCTGTGCACAAGAACCACAAATGGGAAGCATATGACGCCGAACGGACGAGCTGCCAAACATTGTACTAGCGGGAACATCATCAACTAGCTTATTTACGCAGTTATAACCCTTTACACACTTCGCTACACTGCGGCAGTGCAAGGAGTGAGGACTAGCGACATCTCTTTCGAAAAATCAACGCTATTCAAGAGGAGGTGGGTTAATAGAAGTATCGGCTGGCCCCATCACACTAAAAATAGGACACGGTCCGTCAACACAAAGGGAAGATGAAGACTGGCAAGCATTCAGAGCACCGGCTAAACATTGAGGGTGCTGGGAGAGTACGGGCTAAAGTGAGTACAGGCTCCTCGATCAACACAGCTGCTGAATGCTGAGAACAAAGCTATTGAATGTCCCAGATTCGAGAGGATCAGCTTAAAACGATGCAGTGAACTGTAAGGACCCACAGTTGACACGAACCTTCCTGACGATTCATGTCTCACGGAGACCCCCAGAGTTTATGCCTGAAAATTCTACAACAAGTACTACATCTATCGCTACACTGGTGATGAAGGTAACAAATCGTTGGTTCTCCATGATGACAAGGAGTGCTACCGTTGACGTTCAGAGAACCGAAGCATTCGGAACCCTAATCTTCTTCTGGACATATGGTGACGGAACACATAAAGCCGGTCGTCAGAAAAAGTCTCCGATTGAAGGTGAAGAAGACCAGTTTCCTGAGTTCCGATGAGGATGCAGAACATTTCGTGGACCGTCAATAGGAAGCATCGATAAACGAAAGGATTTTCTGGGGAGTGATCCAGATACGGATGGTGACGCGAATCGAGCGATAGTGAAGGAGCATCGCAAGGAAGGACCATTCATTGGAGACCACGGTAGTGCCTAGGCTCGAGGGGAAGTGGCACCACCTCACATGGGCTGTGACGGGTTTACGCTAGAGATGCAAAAAAATTAGTGCGAGGTTCAGTGAAACCAACAACGGAGCGATTTCATGCGGGATCCTGTAACAGTGCCCAGTTTTTTGGTAGATGTTTCACTATACATTATCCAAACGGTGTGCAAGGTTTTGCTACGGGCATTATGCCTTTTTCAAACATTACTCGAGTTTGAAACAGCTCCACGATACAAGCTGGAACTGCTTCAGTTCTTCTGAAGCAAGATACGAGTATCACCTCAAAAAATTCAAAGTTCGAAATGAAGGTGCGCCTCGACTCACCATTGTATCGGCGTCCAAGAACACAGCCTTGGTGTATTGCGTCAATCGCCAGCAGTGAAGTTTTGTGAACGTACAACCAAGATCGGGTCGTTGGATCAGAGCAAGGTTTTCCTGAAGATACAATACATCCATAAAACTGCAAATCCAGGAGCAATCACAGAAAAACACTATGAAGACATTTTGATAGCAGCTGCTAGCCGAGACCGGTTGACCTGATATCACTTTTGAGATTTTTTAAAGGCAGCGATTACGATAGGTTTTGAAAGGGATTAGAGGGGAATGAGGCGCTCAATGGTACGCCAGTAGCGAAAAAAGCAGAGAAATCCGTCAAGAAAACGCAAAACGGGACCCCTTTTTGGCCGTTGATTTCGCTCAAAACAGGTAACAGCTCAGAAAGCGGACGTATGAACGAGTTCACCGCAACGCGTTTGGTGGCACCATGCCAAACCATGCTCCAGTCGAGTTGCTCCAGTTGTGCCGCTGCTGGCAACACAGCTCGTCCAAATCACCAACTAAACTAGTGGGCGGATCGCTTTGGGGCGGAGCGCTTTTCGAAGTCCTGCTCAGCAACCAGCGCACTTTTCGTCGTGAAAGCGCCACACCTCACTTTCTTGGCAGCCAAGCTACTGCTTCGTGTAGCGCATATACTTACCCAAAGCGCTCTCTCTTTATCGTAATCCCTTCCTTTCACATGCTTCGCAAAAAAGGATCGACTAGGCGGAACCGCGGAAGGCTAAGGTACAGTTTCCGGGGGCCTGATTTGCGGAACGTTTTCCCATGATGTGACTTACAAATGAACTGGTTTGAATCTTGCCTGGCCCAGGAATTCCCAGGCTGTCCTCAAAAGGGCTTTTATGTTGCTCGTCTGATAGGGCTTTTGGGAGATTCCGCTAACAGCGTAACATCCCTCCAAAAAAAGTACAAGGGCACCGACAACAGAAAAGTGCAGTCGTGAGGAGACCCTATTACTCAAAGTTGTACGAGAAAACATATCGAGTGCAAGTATGATAACAAACAACGTAGTGTAAAGGAAAAGCACTTCAAAAATCACAGCACCTGATCGTTACTATCCAAGACATCTACGTACGTCACTTCATCGAACTGCGCTGCTAATTCGTCACGGAGGCTAGGAGACACCTAAAAGACCCAGTTAATTGTCTAACTGAAAACAAAAGTTCAGCCGAACTTCGCAAATCCATTTTCCCATTTGTAGCTACAGAATCCGGAAACTCAAGTTCAATTCAACTTTCGAGTCTTATTCGTGTTGCGATCACCGCTGTGTGGGCTTCAAGAGCGGAAAGCGATGACTTGAAATTCCTCAAGTTCGTCTCGAAACTAGAACCTTTTCAAACTAGAACCTTTGGCGTGTCTTAAAGAAAAGTGTCTAGACTCAAAAAACCAAGTAGTAGCCCACACGGATGTTTTCCCAGTCGCATACAAACGTGATGGGTGGTCTTCGATCACTTCAGTTGCTTCGCTAATAGCTTCTTGCAGTGTAAATCGCAGAGAAAAGTTGATATGATGTTCTCAAAGGACTGGAGCTTTTTCGAAACAAAAAAATCAATAGAAATTGGATCTCTGACAATATGACATACCGTGTTTGTGAGCATGCAGTGAAGTTTCTTTGTGGTTCCAACTGCTTTAAGCGAATGAGCTAAAACCAGCGCTCCTTGAGCATAGCCGTCGTGAGTGGCGAGTGTAACCCAGGCCTCGGACATGTCGACTGAAACAAACACTATTGGAGTATACGAAACGGCTGCGAATTGAGGAGGATGACGTTTGTCGACAGCGAGATACTTTTATGCATAGCATGTGGTGATTGGAGTGGTGGTTGGATAGCCACCATCCGACAGCCGCGTGTGCCATTCGCCGCCAGTGGAGCCTTTTTGTCGAGCGACTTTTACTCGACTCAAAACCCCGAAAGACGTGCTCAAGGCGTCGCAATGCTGCCTGAGAGGATTGCGAAACGGCAAAAGGATTCGAAAGAGGAACGTCATGAGCCACACACGTATTATTAGTAGTAGCAGCAGCAGAAAATAGTCGCTGATAACTTTTTCCTCAAAAAAGTCGAATGTTTGCGGCGACCTATAAGGTCTTGCACTTATGATTGCGGAGCAAATATTACGATGAGAAAAGCGATAAGAAATACACGTTCTGCAACTCGCACTGAGAACTGGACGATGACAGAAAAGACCGTCGCGAAATGAAAGTGAAGTGTATTGAGATGATGGATAGATAGATCGAATATGCTAGCATAGTCTGACTTCCCCTTCCGCCTATTGCGCTGAGCTCAGCCTCTATGACACATAACATTGGCTGGACGGTGTTTTTGAGATGCGCCAATGGCCTCGTATTCAAGAAAGGTGGAAACGAGACGGGAGGTTTTTCTGAATGTGTGGCCGTGGGCCGTTGGGAAAAGTGCGCGCCACCCGCATCGACGATCGATAGTCCCGCCATTGAGGGCTACGAGATTGAAAGGTCAAAAATGTTATCATGTGGGTGGTCCAAGCTGATTGATTGCGGGTTGGTCACAAATCTGAAAAAAGGGCAGTTCAATGCAAGATTGTCTAAAAAGGTCTGGAACCTTTCGATTCAGTGGTCGACGCTTTGGGGCTTCTGCAAAACTGGCGATAACACTGTTTATTTTTTCTGCGGAGGCCCTGCCCCTGCACTCCTCTCCCCTACAGCGCGCCTATCATTCGGGTGGACTTGAGTATCGTTTGAGGGCCAAGACAAAGCCCATTCAAAGAACAGCCAGAACAAAGGTGCTGGGTGACGTCCAGACTGAGAACTCTGCCCGGTACTCGCATTCCGGATGCATATCGCCACAACGTTGTCGAATTAGTATTCTCTACCAGTAACTAACTCCACTATGTTACTTGTACGGCTAAGATTCCTAACAAATTGAGCACAGCACAGGTAATAGTGATCCTTGATGCCGGGTTAAGGCTGGGTTCGGCTTTAGTTGAGTATCGCACCGACGATGATCACCGCCGCCGCCGCTGCCAGCCGCCTACAGCCTTCGATTTCAACGAGCTGTAACTAGTCTTGCTAAAGCACTCGGCAAACAGAACATATGGATTACAGCTGCTTTCTTTCTAGCTCTTTCATAACTTCACAGATGCGTCAACCTCTGGCTTGACGCAGTATTTTACATCGTATTAAATATCAGCATATGTTTATTGGATGACACACCACCCATGCCTTTCTGTAGAGAGCTTTAGGTGGCTGGCAACGGAGATGGCGCTGATCATCTCTCTTATTTGCTTTATGATCTGGAAATGGGAAAGTCGCAACCCATCAGCAAATTAGTGCTACATAAATGAGCTTGTTGTAATTTTGTTACGCTTATAGCTGCTAAGCCGCTGCGAGAAGAGATAGACATTATGCAAAGGGATCGCGTACGCTAACCTGGAACCAATTGCCGTTCTGGTCTGACTGGGTGGCACCTCAGCACCTCATTGGTTGATCAAACTTCGTCGCTCAATCACCCCATAGGAAATCGTAATCACTACATAATCCCAGAATTTATAGTTAGAGTAAATAGATAGAAAAATAAGCAGGCGTGCTTGGAGGTAGGGGTCAGAAACCTGAGACGTTGTTTTCCGAAGGCTCGACTTCCGTAGTGAATCAATAGTGCGTTCAAGAAATCACCGCTTATCATATTGTGGTGGCAAAAGTTTGACAGCATTCGAGCGATAGGCTTAGAACTTGATTTGAACCTAACAAATGAATAGCCTTCAGTTTCTATTTTCATATGAAGTCGCCTCTATTCTTGATTTTGCTACTTCGCCTGGGTCAGCGGGGTCAGTAGTTGAAGCTATCATAAGGCGCAAAAATCTACCAGAAAGATGGCAAGAATGGCATTCTTTTTCTGCTGGTCCGGACCTTTTAAAGCAGTGAACACGACGGTCAGGGGGCGGAGCGAGTTTGACGATGTCATTGAGCGTGATTGGTGGAAGGACGTTGAACGGAGGTCCTAACCACACCTAACCCTTCTCCTCTTTCCCCCCCCCCCAACCCGCTGAGAGGACTGGTTCACAGATGATTTCAAGTGACGTAGTCAAAACCGCACTGCGCTCCAGCCATCGCGATTGTCTTGGAAGAAGGACGAAACTTTGGGACGTTAATCCTACAATCTCGCTAGCTAGAGAAATTTGTCAAAATCCAGTCTCAGCAAATTTTAGCATTACAGCATAATGACCGGAAATGAAAATGTTAATAATGGTTAAATGTTAATAAGTGACTTTTCTAGGAAATGTAAGGGATAACTATAATGTAAAATCAAATTATTTTCTTAGGTACTCCTCAACAGATATTACGAACGGGAGAGATCAAGAGCGAAACGAACGTGGCTGAACACTAATGGGTGGGTTCAATCAAATAAGCTCCTCCTTATCACGGGTGATTCATTGCGGCAATCTGAATAGTATGCTCAACCTTAGTTTAGACCAATACATAGTTCACATCGAAAATACCAGATCAAATCAAGATCGAGCGCACGGCGTAACCTTGCGAGTTCTACTCAACGCGTGTAAGGGAAGCTAAATTACGTCTTTCACGGCGTCAGCGCTTGTCTT